GTCGAACTTGGAGTCGCCATTTTGGGCGAAGTCAGTTTCTGACTTATATTTGAACAAGTTCGAACTTGGAGTCACCGTCTTGGGTGAAGTCAATTTCGACTTATATATTCGAACGAGGTCAAACTTTAATCTATCGATTTGGATGGACGAATTTTTACTTTTACTTGGCGATGGCCGACGGCCGCAAAGATGTGAATTTGAGATCGAAATTGTAATCCGTTGTAAATTCGAGCGAGATCGAAATTTTCTTTTATTCGGCGGTGGTCGATGACCGTAAGGTGTTAACTTGAGTGAGGTCAAATTGTAACCCGTTTGGCAATGGCCGGTGGCCGTAAAGGTGTTAATTCGAGCAAGGTCAAATTGTAACATATTTGACGATGGCTAGTGGTCGTAAAAGTGTTAATTTGAGCGAGGTCGAATTATAACCCATTTGACGATGGTCAGTGGCCGTAAAGGTGTTAATTCGAGCAAGGTCGAATTGTAACCCATTTGACGATGGCCAGTGGCCGTAAAGGTGTTAATTCGAGCAAGGTCGAATTGTAACCCATTTGACGATGGCCAGTGGCCGTAAAGGTGTTAATTCGAGCAAGGTCGAATTGTAACCCATTTGACGATGGCCAGTGGCCGTAAAGGTGTTAATTCGAGTGAGGTCGAATTATAACCTATTTGACGATGGCCAGTGGTCATAAAGGTGTTGATTCGAGCGAGGTCAAATTGTAACATATTTGACGATGGCTAGTGGCCGTAAAGGTGTTAATTCGAGTGAGGTCGAATTATAACCTATTTGACGATGGCCAGTGGTCATAAAGGTGTTGATTCGAGCGAGGTCAAATTGTAACATATTTGACGATGGCTAGTGGCCGTAAAGGTGTTAATTCGAGTGAGGTCGAATTATAACCTATTTGACGATGGCCAGTGGTCATAAAGGTGTTGATTCGAGCGAGGTCAAATTGTAACATATTTGACGATGGCTAGTGGCCGTAAAGGTGTTAATTCGAGCGAGGTCGAATTGTAACCCATTTAACGATGGCCAGTGTCCATAAAGGTGTTAATTCAAGCGAGGTTGAATTGCAACCCATTGTATTATTTTTATTAGAGAACACTACACGTTGTCGTACTGTTTATGCGTGTGTCGGGGTGAATCCCGGTGTGTTTGGTTTTGCTTTTACTGGAGAATACTGGGTGTTTCGTGGGTGAGTCCCAGTTCGCTTAACCTTTCTTTCGTTGGAGATTTCTATGCATTTTGTTGGAGATTACTGTGAGTTTCACGGGTGAGTCCCAGTTCGCTTAATCTTGCTTTCGTTGGAGATTTCTGTGCATTTCATTGAAGATTACTGTGCATTTCATGGGTGAGTTCCCTGTTCTGGAGATTTTCTCAATAGTTGACCTGTGCCGAACCGTTTGTGTTATTTGTAATTCGGTATGGCTTAGAGGGCTTTGCTCGGTCACTGCTTGCGAGGTGGTATGGTACGAAACCTTTTCATGGGGTGTTTTGGTGGCGCCCGTTCCTTGTTCGCATACTTGTGAGAGTGCTCGTGTTCCTGTTCTGAACCAGTAAGAGATCGTGGTAAGGGAAACCCAAATGAAATTGCCTATTACCTTGGTCTAGTAAGTTGGTGAAAGGAGGAATGGCATCATAGGGTCGCTCGCTTCACCTCGTACTCGAATGATGATTTCAGGTTTGGCGGCCGTGTTCGGCTCCGTCGTTAATCGCATCTAGGCTTCTCGTGGGTTGGACTTACCTTGTCCGTTGGGATGTCGCAACTGAGTCCCAATCCTACCCCGTCCGATATGCACAAACAATAAGGGAAACATGTTATACTTCGTTCACAAATCATCCAGTGCATGTGGGTACAACAATAGGGCAGGATATGCCTGTTGTTTCAAAGGATCACATAGTAGGCTATCGCCCCTTCCTATGAGGTGGGAGTACGGGTTGGTATATAAGGTGAATACGTCAAATGGGGTTGCGGTCATGCCAAGCGCATAGTAATCGTGATTCTACTTTAAACATGCATATGGCATGCCAAACCCATCGTTACAGGTAAGGCGTGGGTTTTGCATAGACATCGGTCACAATTTCTACTTTATGTAGAGATCTGACCTAGATTGGTACGGTTATCTCAAAGGCTTACCTATCATTCTTTCGAGTAGGTGTTTATGCCGAGATGGTGAGGCCATGATAGCCTGGTAGTGGTATTTGGCTGGTTCTAGATCTAAAGGAAACTAAAAAATTTGGCTAAGAAATCCCCACAGATGGCGCAAAATTGTTTGACCAAAAAGTACTAAGCTTTTCGTTAAATCAATTAATAAAGAAATGGAGGGTAAATCTTAGCCAAACATAATTAACTCTAGATCTAAGCATATTAAATATGAGAATCTAAAGGGACTGAGCTTATATCACATTCCTTAAGATGATTAACAGACATCAAATGTAAATGATAAGCTTACATCTTTGATATATTGTTCCGTACTTCTAAGAGCAAAGAAGGAAAAGAGGAAAAGTTGTTGACAACTATGAGATCTATCGTTATTGATTCAACAATGATGATTACAAAGGGTTGTAACCAAAATCTGGGCTTTTGGTTTGTTGTTAGAGGTCCCCTCCTGTTCTCCTCTTTGATACATTGTCCCTCTCTTTTTCTCGGATGGGAACCCCCTTCCTCTTGCCTTCTTCCCTCATATATATTACCAATTTTTCCTTTTATCCAACGCTCTTTAACCAGCATACCCTCTCATGACTGTACTATTCCTTACTCGCCCAAGTAGTACGACGTATGTTCTGCCGCGCAAGCCTTCTGATGGCTTGATCTCGGCAGTAGCCGAAATACTCATTGTTATTACGCCTCGTGGGCACAACTATGACTTGGTCGACCCCTTACCATTCCTTTTAATGATAATCATCTTGTGGTCAGATTTTGACCCATACATGACCCATTTAGAGAATATCATGACAATATTAACAGGTTCTCCTCTAATACAGAGTTTGTTAAGGGACACAGTGGTAAAAACAAAAGAAGGGGTTTCAAATTTTAAACAAAAAACAAGATGCAAAAATCTCCTTCAATAAAAGTATCACTAGTTAAAGACTTTGGGTTGCGGTCTTTCTCATGTGAATATGCAAAATACTTTGTATTCCGGGATAATGACTTAAATATTGAATTTAATACCTTCAAAATTGTCAATATTAACTTTTGTGGAGAATTATACAAATTTTCCTTAAGATTTGTTTAATGTATGAAACCATAAATGAGGTTAACGTAATTATTTAAGGAAAAATTCAGTTAGAAAAGCATTTTCCTTTATTATGTTACCATATTTTACTACATACCACAAAAAAATTCCTTGTCCTTTGTATTATTCCAAAATCCTATAGACGGCTGCACACACACGACTAGTACCACATGCTATTCATGACATAAGATTATAACATTAATTACAAGGAACAATATTATAAATATGGCCAACGTTGAACAATTCTTTCTAAATTCATTCTTTTCTAATTTTGCATATAGAGGAGAATACAGCAAGCAGTTTCAACATCAACAAATTAAGAGATCTTTTCCCTAATTAATGGCAGCCATTGTTAAGCTCTCTATCACTCTCCTTCTCCTTGTACTTCTCAGTAAAGGTAAAAACCTGTGGGCTTTTTTTTTTCTTAATGTAAAGTTGTAAACAACTAATTCAATCTCATTATGATTAAAAGTTAGTTTTGCATATATAATCATAAAGTTTTTTTTTTCTTTTTATATAACTTTTGATTGGCAGAACCACTACTTTATTGTATAATTCTAATAAATGTGATTGACTCAATTCTAAAACATCTTCTCCATTCTAAAACAACTTCTGGAATCGATTCAAAAAGAGTGATTTTTCATTGAAATTGTTACAACTCAAATACTCATACGGTCGAAATATTCCAAAATTGCTCTTTCCTCTCTTATTAAGAATAAGAAGTAGTCAATATGTGGATCTTACGTTTGGTCAAAATAGCAGTCAAAGAGGGATTGTTACATAAATAGCCGGTCAGATGCAAAATTTACTTTTTTTTTAGTCGGTATATACAGATTATATATAGTTATACTTATATTATACATGTATTATATATTCATAGACTATTTTTAGTTTAAGAAATTAAACTTACGACTATTATTTAGGTTAATTAATTTACTTTATTTTTTGTAAATTATTAAGCTTCATCTTGAGTGTTTTCATTAACGTTATGGAATATGTCGACCCAAACAATAATTCAAGGTGGGTCTTTTGCTCTGAATAATCTTACCAGAAGACTATGAATTGTCATTAATGGGTTGGTCAAGATCGAATATTCTTTTAAAGTGGATATCAAAATATTTTACTTTATGGGATTAGCTTTTATTGGAAAAAGAATCTTTCATTTTAAATATTTATATTCGGTTCCCATTTCCAGCTGTCCCCTTTTAGGCAACCTGGGGTCTAGCTTGAACCTTTTTAGCATGGAAAAGTAATTAAATAAATAAAATAACAGTATTAGCAGGCCTTAGATTCTAGCTGTACTGGCCAAACAATATAATGGACGATTCAATTTGTTTAGACCTTTTTTGATTACTTCTTCTATTCCAAATTCCCAATTCACGTGATAATTAGTTCAGATTTTGAAAGTTAAACGAGTTAATGTTAATTATAATATTTTTTATATAAATTTTGATATGTATATTATAATTCAAAAAGCTTATAGATTTTTGTTCGAATTTGCGGTCAAAATTAAAGATTTTGACTATTGAATTCAAGTTGCATCACATAAGGGTTCAATCGAAAGCAGTCTTATATGTCAAAGTAAGAAAAATATTATTGGTTTTAAATTAAACAATGTGAATAGTTGAGTAAAACTAACAAAAATACCATTCTCTCTCTGCATAGTAAAGATGTAGTCTGAAACAAATTGGACTTTTGGGTCTTTTACACATGCAATTCATATTCCTTTAAAGTGAGGGAGCTCATTATTACTATATTTTTTCCTTTTAATTTTTTTTTTCTTTCCTTCTTTTTGGTACGTTAGCCATTAAAACTTGTACCTAGTAGCGGATCCACTCATTAGCAAGGGCATTCAATTGACACCCCTTCGTCGGAAAATTATGTTGCGTAGATAGGTTAAATATTTTACTTTTATGTATGTGTGTATATATATACACACACACCATGTGTTGACTCCCCTTAATTTTTTTATATGCTTACTTATTTATATTTTGACTCCCCTTAGGGAAAATTTTGGCCCCGCCCCTGCTTGTACCCATGCTAATTAATTTGGTGATTACCTCATCATTGTCCTCTATGTATTTATGGTGCAAAATCTTATACCTATCCTAGTCGTTTTACAAAATAAAGCACGACCTGGTGCACGAAGCATCATATGTTCATACAGGATTTAGAAAAGAGTCTGCACCCCAAAAAGTGTAATGTAGGTAATGTAAGCATCAGTGACCTATAAATCATACGAAAACAATTTTACTGTTGCTCAAGGCTCCCCTTCAAAAATAAAATATAAATTTTACTGTATCCTCCTTATTTCATCTAATTTTTCGTCTTTTTCTTTGATTTGTGTAGATGTTTGTGGTTGTGACTTGAACAATATAACTATTGGAACAATAAGGAGTGGGAATGAAATACAAGGAAAGCCAGAATGGAACGTTGTTGTAGTGAACAATTGTGATTGTCCAATGCAAAACTTGTTCTTGTCTTGTAATGATTTTCAGACAACTGAACCAGTGGATCCATCTATTTTTAAACCTTCAGGAGACAACACATGTATTGTCAACAATGGCAGTTCCATACAACCAAAGGATACAGTCAAGTTTTCTTATGCTTGGGATCCTCCATTTTTCCTAAGGCCAACTTCTGTTGTAACTTCTTGTTGAATGTAGAATTAAAACCATTGAAATTGAATTCAAGATTTGGTTTGGTTCTTTAGTTCTTCTCAATTGTTGGTGCTTTAATATTTTTTTTATTTTTATTTTTATTTTGCTTCAATTGATAATTGCTATATGTGCCTCCAGAATCAAATTTAGGACGAGTTCTATAAGTTCAATTGGACTTATGCTTTAGGCTTGAATATATAAAAAGATAATTTTGTAAGATTTAATTCTATATTCTGAATTCACCTTAACGTGTTATGAAATCAAGTCTATTAGCAAGAACTGCATTTTAAATATTTTTTTCTTCTAGAAAATTAAACTATTAGGATTTTCTTAAGAAAAAAGGTCAATATAATACAGCTTGGCCAGTAAGGCTATTGCCTTAGACCCTAAAATTTGAAGGCCAAATTTACTTTAAACTATTGTTATTATTATTATTATTATTATTATTATTATTATTATTATTATTATTATTATTTATATAAATAATTATTATCAAGAAAAGTGTTACAATATATTTTTTTTATATTATTTGATTGAGGTTGTTTTATACTAATAAGTTCATAAATTATGATAATTTTCTCACTCATTAATTAATATATTTGTTTCACTCTTCTATTTTAATTTTATACTTTTTATATAGAAATTAAGTCATATATATCGACAACATAATGAATTTTTACAATCTTCTCTAAGACTGCGTGAACACAAAAGTATTCATGCACCGATTTTCTTTTAGTGTATTTCAACATATTATATTAGGTTATTTACAATTTATTTTAGATATTCACCAATAAGTGCTACTAATTAATAGAATGAACTACAATTATTGTTTAAATTGATCAGAAGGAGTAAATATTTTTGACACCGTTAATGCTCAAAACTTAAGCTATTATGCTATGTACATTTATTTCTTTTTCTTGATTGTGATGATAGCCAAATAAAATTTCCGCTTTGAGTTCTGGACCTCAACATCTGATAATCCGCCACTTTATTCTTTGTGCTCTTCTTCCTAGTTTTTTTTAAAATTTACTATCTTTGTCTTAAATAATTAATTTGTTATTTAAAAAGCAAATTTTGTTGTTAGTGTAAAAATTTTATAGAATAAATTTAAAGCCTCTCAATATTATATGGTTTCACCTTAGGTCATAAGATCCGTTGAGTCGCCCCTGCCCATCGAGTATGTGTTCGGCCGAACCTAGTTGCTTTGGTCCAATCCATGTTTTTTGTCTTAAATAGGGGCAGCCCTTTCATAAAGCAAGTAAAGCATTTGTTTTAGGCCCTATATTTGTGGGTGCCCCATTTTTTGTTACACCTAATAGACTATGTATAAATTAAAAAGGAGTTATATTAAGTGAAAAGGTTTGATTTCTTTCTTTAACAAATATATAGAAGAAGGATTTGCAACTACAATGATTTCTACCAAGGAAATTGCACTTGAAATGAATATCGAACTCGAATTTCGTAAGAAACGTGTGATATATAAGAAGTAATAATTTGATGTGAATATTGATAATGAAATCTCAAAATCTTTCGAAGAGTCCTTTAGAGTTGATTACTTTTATACATAATAGACAATGCTATTTTTTTCACTTCAAAATAGATTTGAACAATTCAAAACATATGAAAATATTTTTGGTTTTCTATTTGGCAATAAAAACTAAGATCTCTATATGTTGGAAATTTGAAAAAATATTGTCTTAATCTCGAATGTTCCTTAAACCATAATAATCAATTCGATATTGATGGTTTAGATTTATTTTTTGAATTAAAAGTATTAAGAAAAATAGTACAATTAGAAGATAACAGTTTAATTGATACATTTAATCAAATAAAAAGAATTAATTCTTTTCCAAATGCCTAAATTGCTTATGGAATAATGTTCATAACTCATGTTACCGTTGCTTCAACGGAAAGAAGTTTTCAAAAATTAAAATTGATAAAATTTTACCTAAGAACAACAACGTCACAAGAATGTTAAATGGATTTGTTATACTGTCAATATAGAAATACTTATTAGGAGTTACTGATTATAAGAAAATTACTAATAACTTTGTATCTATAAGAAAAGCTAAAAAAACAGACTTCAAATAAATAAATAAATAAATAAAAAGTTAAGGCCCCTCATAAAATTTGGCTTTAGGTCATAAAATTCGTCGGCCCGCCTCTGGTCTTAAAAATCAATTTAATATATACAAATTATTAATTTAGAACCCAGTAACTTAAAAAGATTAGAACCCCAAACCCATAAACTTCAATTCCTGGCTCCGACTCTGATATTATAATAGATTAAAGATATTTCATTGTCAAATTCTTTTAGTTACTCTAATGTATGGATCCCATAATATATAAAGTCAATGTTAGATGATTCGACATTTTAAAACTACTAACACATTCTTCTTTCATTTGAAATCGAATATTGTAACTTTACAGATTACGAAAATTTTAAAAATGTTTACTAATTTATTTGGAGAATATGCGGATCAAGTGTAAATTTTAGGTTTGTAATGAAAAAAAAATTGAAAAAGCACGTTATTCATGTTAATTTGTTTTCTGAGTGAATCCCGGTCTCTTTCTTGGTTAATATTCTTTTCTTTTCGTACCTCTTTTCTTTCTTCTTTTTCATTTAGCGGGGGCAGAGACTATTTTCTAACCAATAAGGTGTCTGGACAATGCAGTATTTTTTTATTTTTTTTTGAAGCTATATGGATATTTATATCACAAAAATTCAGATTGTGCAGCCAATAATTATAGTGAGCTTCGAGGAAAATTAAAAAAGAAGAAAAAAGTTTGGATTCAAAGGGAGATTGAACACATCAAGAGTCTGGGGCAATAGTTCCTACTTATACCTTGTAGCATAAAAGGATTTCGTGATTTAGTTTGAGACATTATTAAATATAAGCTGAACTATTACAAATTCTTATTCAGTTTGAATCATATTATATTTCAAGTTGTTCAAATCATAATTATATATAATTATGATATTTGAATTTCACCAAAAGATTATTCTATGATCATATGATTTGTTTCCTTTAATTTCATAATTATTTTATTTGAGTACATTTCAGAGATAGGCAAAATGACTGTTGAGATTTTGTGACACAAATTTTATTGGATCTACTATGTGCTCAAACAATTAAAATGACAATTTTTTAGATTACTCCTATAATACGTTTCCCATCATGGTAATTTTAATAACAGAGAATCAAGTCCTTAAATAAAGAGAAAATAGCTTTCCTTTAATTACACATCCGCTGCTTCTAAAACAATGAACAAAATTCAAAGCCCTAATTTGCGTGCCATATTTGGTCTAAATTAACGGGGCATGAATTTTTCGATCTTTTTCTACATTAGTGTCAACTCTTTTTAAATAATTCAAAAAAAACATAAACAATTCTATTTCAACCCAAACAAAAGACGCCTTCACAAAAACAAAATCTACAATTCTTGTCGTTATATTGCCCTGTGATAAGCAATATTACTTATAAGCTTCATTGAACAACTTATCAATAAGTGAATTGGCTTATTCACCTCAAGTCGCTCTGTCTGACTATAAAATAAGTAAAACGTATCGCCAACTTTCCTCATTCTTTACACAGTTGCTGCTGGGCTTTTTGCATAGGTTCATAGATAGGTAGGTTGGTAGGCGCAGTTTTTTGATATTTTTCACAATTCTATATTAAGCTTTGTGGTCCACTCTTCAGTCTTTTTCAATTCCAAAAGTTTTCTGAGTCTTTTAACTCGTTTCGTTTCGTGTTTACTTTTCCAATTTGATTTGATCGAGAGAAGAAGTGAAAGGTGACTCTGAATTGTATTTGATCCAATCTTCATTTTTTGTTATTTTTGTAATCGGATTTCTTGAATTTTCTTCTGAATTTTGTGCAATTGAGATGATTTGAGGTGAATTGAGTTGAACTAGAGGGGAGGATTATTGGATTAAGCGATTTTTAGTGCTTGATTATTGTAATTATCGTTTCTAATTTTTTTTTCTCTTGTTTTCTCAGTTTTCTCAGTGCATCTTTTGTTTTGGTTAAATTCTAAGTTGATATTTCTGGTTACATTGATACATGCATATTCCCACAAACAATTTGATATTTTTCTTGTTGTGCTAATTTTCATGTAGAAGGAAAGTTGACAATTTTGTTTGTATTTGTTTTTCCTGTACAATCTAAACTCATTTCAGAAGTAAAGAGCGAAGAGCGTAAAGGCCTATATATTAATTGATTCCTAGAACTTTTCAATCTTAATGGTGTTGATGTTGTCCTTGTTGATTTTGTATAACAAGTAACAGCTTATTATCCAGTATCATTTTTGGTCATTTGATTTTGACTTGTCTAGTTTAACGGTCAATTGTCTTGAGCCGAGGGTCTATTGGAAACAACATCTCTGCCTTCAAGGTAGGGGTAAGGTTTGCGTAGATACTACCCTCCCCAAACCCCACTTGTGGGACTATAGTGGGTTTTTTGTTGTTGTTGTTGTTGTTAGTTTAACTGTCATTTGATCACTCAAAATTCATCAATGTGCTATAGTATGAAATCATGTCAATGTATGAGCTTCTTACTGATCTCTCTCTGATTATTTGAAAGGTTTTGAAGGGAAGAAAGAACTCAGTTGACCATGTCTCTCAGTAAAGACCTTATATTCTTGATATTACAGTTCTGCAACGAGGAGAATCTCACGAAAACTGCTCACATGTGAATTCTATTATTAATCTTTTTTTTAATGGATTCAACAGCAGAATAAGAGTTATTTATTGTATTTTTATTGGAATTGTAAAATTGTGGAAATAGGTTAGAGCAGGAGACAGGGTTTTTCTTTGACATGGAACATTTTGAACATCTCGTGCTCAGTGGCAGTTGGGATGAGACTGAGAATTATCTTTCAAGTTTCACTGGTGTCAGTGACAACAAATTTTCTACAAAAATGTTTTTCGAGATTAGGAAACAAAAGTTCCTCGAGGCACTGGACAGGTAATCTTGTGATTATCAGAAATCTGATGTAAC